AAAGTGACCTGAGATGACATGATGTGAATTGGAGCTATAGAAATAAACTGAATAGAATTGAATAATCTGCCCAATATTTTATTAATCCATTAATAATCTATTATAAATAAAGTTTATTAGGGATTTTTCACCCAGTTGAAGCTAAAACAGCTGGGGGGGGCGGGGGGTGGGGGGACTCTGGCCTCCCTCCCCTCCCAGCTGAGCTCTCCTTGAAGCAGGTGATGATGAAATGTTGCGTTGCTGTTCGGGCAGCGAGGCGTCGACCTGCTGTTAAATCTTTCAGCGCACAGTGAGAACTCACACAGACTAAACAATCAGCCGAGAATCCTGCTGCTGCTCCAGAATCACTGATGGCGGATCAGGAGTCAGTCTGACGGACATGTTCTCTGAACCAGGGGCTGATTGGGCTCACCTGGCCGGCGCCTTCTTCATGTGCTCTCCTACGAAGGTGGCGTTGGTCATGCCCATCAGCGTGTTGGCCAGAGAGATGGCGGACAGCAGGTGCTGCGTGGTGACGGCCCTGGACACGCCGTACGTCCCCTTCCCCACGATGTCGGACAGGGCGAGCTTCAGACCTGTGGCCACGGACAGCTGGCGCAGCAGGGATTCCTGGGAAAATAAAACAGGACGTTTCTTCACACTGAACCAGGAACATCAGAGGAGGTCTACCAAGAATATAGAAATATGAAGAGGCGACGGTGAAAAACTAAAATGATTTGTTTTTTGCTGTGAAAATCTAAAATAAAAATGTGAAATATTCAGACAGGAAAGAAGGTTCTCTAGTTTTTGTTTTTTTCCTATAAACCAAAAGAAGCTGAGAGCGGCTGTGTGACCTTGAAGGTGGGCAGCATGAGGGACATGTGTCCCCCCCTGGAGATCAGGCCGAAGGAGATGGGGCAGTGCGGGCGGAGCATGCCCAGCCGCTCCAGGCAGATACCGTCCAGCTGCTCGTTGAGGCCCCAGGCATGCAGACAGGACATGAAGAGCTTGGCCGTGTCCATGGTCAGGTTGTACTCCAGCAGACTCAGAGACTTGGACTTCTCCTCGCGCCTCCTCATCTCCTCCTCCTCCTCCTCGTCTTCGTCCAGCAGATGTTCTTTGATGGTCTCCTTCATGGTCTCCTTCACCTGGATGAAGCAGAGGTTTGTCAGCGGGGAAATGGACGCTGGTTTTTCAGACGCGCTCGGTACGGACCTGTTTGAAGATCTTATTGGCCAGGAAGGACCCCCCCTTGTCGGCCCCCGCCTGACTCTTCTGTAGGGTCTCAGGAGACACCAGCGTGGGGTTGGGCCTTTGGGCCTCCTCTGTCAGAAGCTGGATGATCAGCGCCTCCACGTCAAAGAAGAGAACGTGCATGTCGGGGTCGGTCAGGTTGGTCTTCATGGCCTGGACCACCAGTGCATTGTGGGAATATTTGGGTAAATTACCCTGAAACAGAAAAAAACATTGAAGATTGAATCATCTATTCAGAGTTAGCAGGTAGCTTTCCATCAGAACCACAATGATCCAATGTGGCGTTCCCCAAGGCTCCATCTGTGGGCCGCTCCTGTTCAGCATCCCCATCATGAAAATGAGCTTAAATGAAAACTAACGAGTCTATTTCTATAATGTAAGGAGTAGAAAGTTGTCTAAAGAATAATGACTCCAGTAAAATATGGATAAAAAACATTTCTACTTAAGGAAGGTAATGAAGTATTAATACTTTGTTACGTGACGCCTCTGTTTGTCTCTGAATTTTGGACATTTCCTGTGCATGAAGGTAATGGTTGCCATAGAGACCGGTTTTTGCAGCAGTCCGCTAACAGTCAGCTTTAAATAGAGGAATTAGTATTGCTAACCGTGGCTAGCATGAAGCTCTCTGCCAATCACCCGTCTGTCCTCATTCTATGTGTTTTATGTCTGTGATAATGGATGTCTATTCTATTAACATTTATCTATCTGTAGAATGGGTCTGTTTTATGTGTTCTCAGTTCAGAGGGCCCCCTGCCTGTCTTTGCCTAGGGCCCCGATTTTCCTAAATCCGCCCCTGGCTCCCCCTGACTCAGATCTGAATAAACATCAGTTACCATGGCGACGCAGACCACACCCAGCTGGTCATCTCCGTGTCACCAGGTGACTCTGAACCCATTCCAGATAAATGCAGAGAAGAAACCAAAGCATGGATGAACTAAATGTTCTTCAGCTGAATCACAGTTTCTGGACCAAAGGAAGAACGTTTCAACGTTAGCATCCAGCTTCAGCTGATCCAGCTAGAAGCAGAAACCAGGATCTAGATCATGACTCGGACCTGAACCTTCAGAGGCTCAGAGAGACAGGAACACAGTGGGCCTTCCATCACCTGAAGAACATCTGCAGGATTAAAGGACTGATGTTAAAAAACTACTTCCTGCTTCGTTCATCTTTAGTAGAATCGATCCATGCAGCAATCGATCTATAAAGAACTAGAACTATATAAAGTAGATCAGACAGCTGATCCAGACGCTGCTGCCTGCGTCCTCACTAGAACTATAGAAAGTAGAGAACATCAGCCCGGTTCCTCTGGCTCCCCGTATCTCAGAGAGTAGACTTTAATATCTAGATATCACTGAATAGCTGAGCTCCACACCACATTACAGGCTGGTTGGCAGGGGATCGACAGTCGGACCCTCTCAGATCTACTGGTTCAGAACCAAACATGAAGAAGCAGCTTTAAGTTCTTCTGCTCCACTAATCTGGAACAAACTCTCAGGAAAACATGACGGAGCTAAATAATTCAGAGGCCTTTGATTGTAAAAGATTAATTTGTTTTAGTTCAACTTTACTTTCATCTTATTAATTAATTCTGCTCTTTATGCACCTTTCCCTCTGGGTTTTCACGTTATGAACTTTAAATTAGGGGGTTTGTTTACGTAATCCTGTCCTTTTTTTTGAAATACCAAAAAACTTTAAAAAAATGATGAAAACCAGAAAGATGATGATTAGTTTAATCATTGCTGCTCTTAGATTTCCTACTTGTTGTTTTAATCTTCTCCTTTTTTTATAGTTGAAATGTGGATTAACTGACTGAAGATCTGAAAAACCTCCAGATGAAACAGTGGACGTTTGATGTTTAGATGGAGAGGAGCGCCCTGCGTTTAACATGCAGGCCTGGATGGGACCCCATGGGAGACCAGGAGCCATAATCACACAGCAGAGCTGCAGGTGAGACCCTCCCTCAGCTGCTTCCAGCATTAGACCCCGGCTGGATGGTTGCCGGTAAATCGAGGGAGTTTGTTGTTTTTGGAAGCTGATGAACTCCCAGCTACTTTGGCTTCATCTCAGCAGCTTAAAGTCTTTGATTCACTCAGATTAGCAACATTTTCCCTCTTTTACCAACAGCCTGTTTGTCTGCGCCGCTCATCTCCGGTGGAGAAACAGTGCCATCTACAGGCAAACGATGGCACTACACATTCATGCAGATCAGCAGGTTCTGAGGAGTTCTGCCGTTTCTGCTGTAAACAATCCAACATTGTTTTTGAGAGAAGAAGATGAAAAACATTGGGTTGAAAGGTTTATTTCTGAGATTAAAACAGCTTTTTGATTATTTAAATCTGCAACACATTTTCTGAGTAGATTTTAAAGCGAATGGAAAAAGGTTAACAGTTGGACTGTCAGCCCTGCTGACCAGGCTGACTTATTCTAGCTCGCGGGATGTTGATCTAAAGGTCATCGTCCTGCAGGGCCCTTCAGGCAAACGCCCCCCCCCCACCCCCCTCAGGATGCACGCTGAGCTGTAAACTGCTCACCTGCCCGTTTCCCCTCCTGTTTAATCTTAAATGAAAGAATAAAAGGTTCCAGCGATCGGCTGACTGACAGGCTGCAGCCACAACAAGCAGCAGTATAAAAGTTTGACTCCGATTCTGGTCTAATAAGGACTTTCTCAGAAAATAGAAATCTGAAAAAAAGAAAAACCTTAATAACCTTTTTCTTTTTTTTTTATAAATATGTTGGTTTCATTACAGAAGATGTGGTTTGATTCTACAGATAATGAAGGTGAGGGTCAGGAAGAGACGGTGTCTGAGGTAAGGGTCTAAATGTTCCTGCATGTCTGCACAGCTGTCCTTTCCAGGGGCGGATTTAGGAAATGTGGGGCCCTAGGCAAAGACAGGCAGGGGGCCCCTCTGAATGGAGAAGAGAAGACATAAAACAGCCCCATTCTACAGATAGAGAAATGTTAATAGAATAGACATCCATTATCTGTTCTAGGTTTTGTTCAGACTGATCAGTAGAGAGATGGAACCCTGAGCTAAAGATGGAGGAACGACGAGAAGAGCAGCAGATGGTTTCAGCTCCACAGCCTGACGTTTTAGGGGGACAGAGGAGTTCAGAGCGTCCATCAGAGGAGGGACCGAGCTAAACGCTCCTCAGACTCAATTATTCATGCCGTTTGTTTTCCACTCTGGGATCCTGGATGTGGGTGGAGGTCTCTGTCAGGACAGATCAGATCGCCCCACGTAGACGGAGGAACCCGTGGACGAGGACGAGCTAAAAACAGCCGCAACCCAGAGGAGGCGAGACAGCAGAGAAACCCGGAGAGATCAGAACCAGAAGATCTGAAATATTAGCATGAGGACAGAGAAGGTCGTCCTCAGGGAGAGTCTCAGTAACCGAGGGAGGGAAGCAATGAGGGAACCATTAAACGGGTCGACCATTGAACGGCTTTAGCAAACAAAGCGTTCCGTTTGGGTTCCATCAGCGTGAGTTCTGGGTTCTGGTCGGGAACCAGCCGGGTTCTCACCTTGTCAGCGTTGTCTGCAGCCAGCAGGTTGGTGGCCAGGGTCTGCAGCTTGTGCTGGGCCATGTTCTTGAGCGCCGCCAGGCTGCGGCGGGTCATGGCCTGCTTTAGGTTAACGGCGGAGTGACTCAGAGCGTCCACTGTTGCCGGGGCGAGCTCGTCGCAGGCGTTCAGGATCTCCACAGCCGTGATTCCCATCACACAGCGATCCAGAGCTCCTGAAAGTAAAGACATGGACGTTCAGTTAGAGTCTGAAGGATCCAGCTGTAGATTTAAACCCTTCAAAGGAAGCAAGCGGCCTGCTGATTAGAAATACGTCAGACATCCAGAGGAAGGATCAACCTGCTGGGTTCTACTGATGGAGAGAAGGAGAGAGCAGAACCTGCAGAAGAATCTAAAGACGCACAGAGACACCGGCGACCAGACCTCTGGTCCAGGAACAGCAGTACAGGGAAGGAACTGTGGAACCAAAAGACTTAGAGCTGGATCATCTCAGCAGGACACCACGGCGTTCACACTGGGATGGCTAATGTTAGCATATTGTTGGCTAGGATGGCTAATGGCTAATGTTAGCATAATGATGGCTAGGATGGCTAATGTTAGCATATTGATGGCTAGGTTGGCTAATGTTAGCATATTGATGGCTAGGATGGCTAATGGCTAATGTTAGCATAATGATGGCTAGGATGGCTAATGTTAGCATATTGATGGCTAGGATGGCTAATGGCTAATGTTAGCATAATGATGGCTAGGATGGCTAATGGTAGCATATTGATGGCTAGGATGGCTAATGGTAGCATATTGATGGCTAGGATAGCTAATGGCTAATGTTAGCATACTGATGGCTAGGATGGCTAATGGTAGCATATTGATGGCTAGGATGGCTAATGGCTAATGTTAGCATACTGATGGCTAGGATGGCTAATGGT